CTTTAAATGCTACTGATCGTGTCATATTTCTTATTATTTTTTTCTTTTTTTTACGTAAAAAAGAGTTTAATATTTTAAAAAATCTCAGGATATTATACACATTTTTTAAAAAGCTTCCCATTTAAATTCTGTTGCACGAAAAAGAAAGAAAGGTAGGAGGGAAGATAAAATGAAAAAAATTTCAAATTCATATTTCATTATGGTTTCAAATGTTAATGAGGAAGGATGTATGTTTTTTCATGCACATTTTGTATTTCCCAATAAGGTAAGTTGAGTAGTGTCGGCTAACAAAAATGTTATTAAAAGTAATATAGGTTGACACATTTCAATAATTTTAATTATTTCATTTCGGTTATTTATACGTTACTTATAAAATTGTTTCAAATAATTTCAGTTAGTTTTTAAGTTATTAAAAATAAATATGTACCTGCTTCCAATAAATTTTTTTTAAATAATTATTTTAAAACTATTTCAAACATGTTATATTGAGTGCTGCAAACATTTTGCTGTGCTCTTTTTTCATATTTTATTAGCAGGTAAACAAGAGCATTCTATTTATAAAATGTCCCTGCATGTGTATGTATGACCTATCTTAATTCTAAGCGGAAAGAATATTACATAAAGAACAAACATTTTAAAATACCTGTTATTTTACAGTCGGAATTTTTGAGTCATTTGGTAAAATAGCATTTATTTCAAAAATATAAAATTTGTATTTAACAAATAGTATTTGATTGTATTTTATATATTGTTTTCTAATTCCCTCTTCCAACTTTTTCTTTACTATGTATTTATATCAATATTCAATAATTATCTTTCATTAATTATATTTTCAACTTGACACCAAAGTTACTCCCCGTATCTTGAGTTAACTTACCCTATGAGAAAAAAAAGCTGTTCACTTAAAAATAATGAAATGCTTTCAGTAACATATAAAACGTTGAAGGCGAAGGATGTGCTTGTTGTTTTTCCGCTTTTTTTATAATTTTAAAATAATTATGAATGAAAATATTAATATATTTTTTGATTTTTCAAATATATTTTCTAAATTTTACCTGCTTTATAATAAGTGTGAATTTATTTTAATATTTCTTCTCAAAAAATAGCCACTTTGATTTAAAAAAACCCATATAAAATAAGGTCGTGCTTTCAAGTTTCTCTCTGAGCATTGGGACTTGTTAGATATAAAGACATTAATTATATACATTTTTTAAAAAGCTTCGCATTTAAATTCTATATTTCTATTGCACAAAAAAGAAAGAAAGATAGGAGGAAGAAAAAATGATAAAAAATTTGAAATTCATATTTCAGTATATTTTCAAATGTTAATGAGGAAGGATGTATGATTTTTCACGCACATTTTGTATTTCCCAATAAGGTAAGTTGAGTAGTGTCGGCTAACAAAAATGTTAATAAAAGTAATATAGGTTGACACATTTCAACAATTTGAATTATCTCATTTCGATTATTTATACGTTACTTATAAAATTGTTTCAAATAATTTCAGTTAGTTTTTAAGTTATTAAAAATAAATATGTATGTACCTACTTCCAATCAATTTTTTTTTTAAATAATTATTTTAAAACTATTTCAAACATGTTATATGGAGTGCTTCAAAAATTTTGTTGTGCACTTCTTTCATATTTTATTTGCTGCTAAACAAGAGCAATCTATTTATAAATTGGCCCTGCCTGTGTATGAGGCTTTATAGTAAACACAAACGGACAAAAATTTACATCAGTACCTACTACCTGTCGTTTTACAATCGGAGTTTTTGAGTCATTTGCTAAGACAATATTTATTTCAAAAATAAAAAAGATATTCGAATCCGGTCATAAAAATATATTATTGTCTTTTCCAAAACCTTTCAAATATTTTTTTACTTGTAGGTAATATATTAAGTTTTAAAAAATTTTCTCAGAAATAGAGATAAAATTTAGAAGTGTATACAAAATTTGTATTTAAAAAATAATATTTGATTGTATTTTAAATATTATTTTCTAATTCCCTCTTAAAATTTTTTCTTTACTACTATTGTATTTATATCAATATTAAATAATTATCTTTCATTAATTATATTTTCAACTTGACACCACAGTTACTTCCCATATCTTGAGTTAATTTACCCTATGAGAAAAAAAAAGCTGTTCACTTAAAAATAATGAAATGCTTTCAGTAACATATAAAACGTTGACGGCGAAGGTTGTGCTTGTTGTTTTTCCGCTGTTTCAAGAATTTTAAAATTTCTGAATGAAAATATTAATATATTTTCTTGATTTTTCAAATATATTTTTAGAATTTTACCTGCTTTATAATAAGTGTAAATTTATTTTAATATTTCTAAACCCATATAAAATAAGGTTGTGGTTTCAAGTTTCTCTCTGAGCATTGGGATTTGTTAGATATAAAGACATTAGTAGTACCATTACACTTTGTTTGCCTCGTCTTGGCAATGTACAGTAATGATGCAAATACAGACTAATACCTGCCTCCTTGTAGAAAATTTTTTGAAGAGGTTTTTGTAAAATGTCTTGTCCGGCATTTCCAAAACCAGATTTCAATAAAGAAGTGAGAAAAAAGTTGTAGCATTTAATTGAATTGAACAATGCTGTTACAAGATTTTTAAAGATTCTTCTAAATATTCAAAACATTTAATCCGATATTATAATTAATATAATACTGCATGTCCGTCTTTACTATTTCTATTTGTTTACTTATTGTTTCCATGTATTTAAAATAAAATATTTCAAATTAAAATATGAATTTGGACAATTTTAATGCTTTTTTTACATTATATGTACATAAATTACTTAACTATTTTGAACATTTGATATTAATAAAAGCAGCGAATATAACATTAACCCAAGTATGAACAATGCATATACATATACATGTATGCATGGATATATCTAGGGTTTTCTGTCTGAACATGATATTTACATTTTGACAAAAAAAGTTATGAATTAAGCGGTATAACTTAAAATTATAAGAGTTTTCTATGGCAAAAAGAAATGTAATTTTTCCAGTAATTCTAAAAAAAACTTTGAAGAGCATTATAGCTAACCAATTGTTAAAAAAATGTTTTCTGACAAAATTAGATATTAACAGTTATTCACTTTTCGAGATCATAAAATTTTCTAAGAAGGCATTGAAATATAGATACATATGTCATGATTCATATAAGTAGCACACACGTGTACAAACATTTAAAACTAGTTAAGTGAACTTATTCAATTCTGATTAATACTAAAATTTATTGTGCTTGGAAAAAGTTTATATCCATACATATCTTATTTGATATAAAAAAATATGTTAAAATTTTTATTCTATGCAATATTTAGTAGCAACATTTTAAAATACCAACTTTTAAAACCATATTGACTAAGTTTTCACTAGATAATGTTTTAGTAAAACAAAAATAACGCAAAAAAAATTTAAGAATGCTTTACGCGAAATGGCAAAAATGTACATGTCATGTATGTAGATATCATGTTCTGATAGAAAACCCTATATAGGATATATATTTATGGATATATGTGTATATAAATATGTATATTTACAAATATGAATATCTATACGTGTGTGAGTATAAATATAAGAAGTTTACATATTATTTTTACTATACTATCGCCATTAACTATATAAGTAAGTTTCATTACGTATTTCGTGTGCACGAGTATATGTACATATGTATGTATATATTCGCTTGTTCAACAAGGAAAGAATTATACACTCTGTCGGTAATTAAAACAGATTCACTTGATTTATTATAATTAATTGGTTGCAATTATTTTTCAGTTTTAAAATTAAATATCTTAACTCACATAAATTTTTAAATAATCATTTTATTAAAGGATACAAATCGTCTTTAAGTAAAATACACTCATATGTATATGTACTCGTATCTATATATACATATGTATATATGTATATATATATATACATTTCCTTTAAGACTTTGAAATTCCTTTACAACAGTTGAAAACTGTAAATATTATATTTATCTATAAAATTAAAATTGTATGATGAAATTCAGTTTTCCTTATTGTAATTTTAGTTATAGCAGATAAGCTCAAAATATTGAAAAGTCTATATATTAGACTTAGTTTTAGTTAGATAAAGGGAGATCATTTATTATTTAGTCAGCGAAAGTTAGAATATATAGGCTTCCTACAAGAACGTCGGGAATGAACAAATCGTTCTATGAAGCATTCGCTATTTGTGTATGAAAATGTACAAACATTTTTTTTAGATTTTCATGTTCTTATAATTTGGTTATAATTTGTATAATTAATTGCTTTATGTGCTAAATTGTATTTGTAAAATCTTACTTATTACAAAAATAATATATGTATGTATATAAATATGTACTTTTATATAATATTTTTTTGGCGTTTTTAATTGCTATGAATAAAACGACATCCTTTTAATTAATGATTTAAGTTTTCTTATGTGTAAGTACCTATAATTCTTCAAGTTCATTTAATTTTTGGAAAATATTTCATCCTTTCACCGGTTACGTAAAATGCTTTTCATTTAAAAGCTTACTTTTAATATCAAGGAATTTCAATACAAAATGAGTAAAATGGGTTCATATTTGTATACATATATGCATGGACATATTTGGAAAGTTGATTTGGGAAACCTTATATACGTACACATACATACAAATGGTTTAACAAATATTTAAAAAAAATATAATATGTTTTTCGAACAAATAAAAAAATAAAATCATTTTTTGGTTTTGTTAAATATTTTTTAATGTATATAATTAATATTTTGTTGTATTAAGCAAATTTTTGTTTGATAATTAATAAAAATGTTCAGCCTCAACAGATTTTTTTTAAAGCAGGATGTTCTTTAAAAAAAATGGTTTTTCAAACATCTTAGAAATTTTTTTGTCTACATCTATTATTTTTTTTTTGCTTTTTTATTTCTAAAATGACTCAAAACACTTTTTGTATGCAAATACGTACGTAATATACTAATTAAATACTCACCCGTATGAATATATGTGTGTTTCTTCATATCACTTTTCTGATGAAATCGTTTTCCACAATAATTGCAAGGGTACGGCCTTGTGTCACTGTGTATTAATAAATGTGTTGACAGCGTACTTGACCGTTTGAATTGCTTGCCACATTGTTTGCATTCAAAAACTTTTTCTACGTTATGAACAGCTCTTTTATGTTATTGATTATAATGTAATAAAAAATTCATAAAAAAACAAAGAGAAAACAAAAGTAAAATTTTGATATTTGCTTTTTTATATACAATTCACGTGTGTTGAAAAACTATTCGTTAAAAGATGAGATTTAATGGAACTTACCGATGCTGACTTAAGCTTACTTCATGACCAAATGTTTTATTGCATAATTCACAGGCATACGGTTTTTTACCGTGGTGAGTTCTTCTTGCATGCACCTCGAGACCATGAGCAGTACTAAACATTTTTTCGCATTTCATACACGAGTATAAATCACTAAATTGTGGTAATCCAGGCCATTTTGGTAAATGATGGAAATGCACATGAGGACCATGTGAAAATCCTAGTTGTACGTTTGGTGCATGAACAGTCCTGCCGTTAGTTCCCGTATTTTCGTTTATACCCGGATTATTGCCAGATATATGTCCAGTAGCCATTAGCGCGCGTAATCGCATGAAATCTTCCTGTGATGTTGGATGATAACTTTAAATGAAATAATAGAAAACTGGTAGGGTTAAAATATACATGCTATATGAAATAAATATTTGAAAATATTATATAGCATGTATATATTATATACATGCTATATAATACTTTCAAATATGAAATTGTTAACAAAATGAAGCTATACAATTAAGTACAGTTTGAAAATTAATTTAATGAACTATTTTTGCCCTTTATTTTGGAAATTTACAAATTATCTTCTTAATTTATTATAAACCTTATGTATTTGATATTTTGTAAAGAACAAGTGATACTTAATTTAATATTTTATAAAAATTTTGTAATATTTTGGACGTTTAAACTGAGCAAAAGATTACTGCAGGCATGTTTATGCAAAAATATAGTTTTAAAAAATATAATACTCTTTTACAAAATTATTTTCTTTGTTTCTTAAAAAACTTACCTTGAAGTTCCATGTTGTTGACCTTGATGAAATGCAAAAGCAAATGCAGCCAAAGGAAATGGCGTAATAAATGGTCGATGCAACATTCCCGTTTGTTCATAACCATGTGCATAATTATTTCTAAATATTTCAAATGAACTAACAGGTACTGGCGATTTTGGAATATTGGAAGCAGCTGGTTGATCTTGTTTTAAAAGTGCAGATACTGAGAAACCCACCGACTTTTTCGAGGCAGTCGAATGCAAACCGACACTATCACCCGATAAATCATGCATAATTTTGTTAGATGATTGCAACACAGGATATAAAGGAGGTGGCGGCGAGTCGACTTCCAGCTCTGAAGAACTAGTTGAGCTAGATCGTGTTATCATTTCAGGAGTTCTTGAAGAACTTCGAGATGGTGATTTGGATTCATGTTTGAAACGTTTTATATGCGCATTGTCGCTTTTTGGTGATTTATCATAAGAATATTTTACACTATCATTGTCTTCATCTTCAGATAGATCAGAAGATCTTACTAGACGGCTAATTCCAAATGCTAATTCATCTAAATGAAAACAAAATAAAATTTTATATACACAAAAACTATATATTTATATAGAGAAATATTAGTACATCTACGAACATAATATAATAACATAAAATTAATCCCTTATCACATTCTAACACACAATTAAAATGAATTTTCCGTATTTTGTTGATTTAAATTGCTAAATTTACTTTAAACATCTGTTCAGTGATACACTAAATTAAATGGAGCATAACAACCATATTATTAAATTTTCATCTCAGTTATTGAAATATGTATATACAGTAAAAACAATTTGACAAAATCACACACGATTCGTAACGGATATAAATAAATATTCTTATACGAGTATATGTATTTAACATGTATGAATCGTTGCAATTGGAATTAATTGTTGAAGTTGCATCAATCTAACTTCTTAAGTTCTATTTTGTTTTTACCTAACCTTATTTCACCCCCTTTTAAATTTCTATATAAATCCTCCCTATTGTATTATTTTAATATAATTCTCATCTAATTCTTCTAAAGATCTATTTATTTTATATACAAGGTGTTTCGCATAAGGTAACCAATAATTTGAGGGATGATTTTTTGACCAATTTGCAGCGAAAAAATTGTTGTGTTGACGAAGGTGCGGGGGCGGTTGGCTAAAGCCTGTTGGGTCAAAAAATAAAGTTGGATCAAACCAATGGTTTGTATTGTAGCACTTTTCCCTTCAAAAATTGAAAATACTGCTTTTAAATACAGTGTACGTATATCTACGACACTATTAAAATTATTTTCATTCATAAAGGAAACTAGGATTGCATGTAGTATTTAGGATGAATGATTTATGCAGTCTTTGAAATAAAGCAATATATAATTTAAAAGCCCTTTTTAACCTCATAATCCTCAATTTTAAGGGTTAATTGCGTGAGTTAAGAAAAATATTTATATTTTTTAATGTCATGGAATTTACCGCTAGCTTTTTGCGTATATAGAAATTTGAAAAAGTTTCTGGTTTCGGTAATATAAGGCGTCAAAAGTTCAAATATTACAAATTTCAAGAGGCGATAAATTGAGAGAGGGTGGAGATGGAAAAAAATTTTCTTGTAACGAAATAAACTTTTTGTTAGTGTCTAAAAGCTGCTAAAATTTCAGGCTCCCAAAATCTGGGGTCTAGAACAAAAACGACATCAAAAATTTGTAAAAAACGGATTTTAGGTAACGGTAAATTTTAACAGCCATTTTTTTTGTTTAAAGTTTAGCTATAGTATGCCACGATAGGAGAAGCAAGCCGCTGCCTTTTTGCGTTTGCAGAATTTGAAAAATGCTTATGGTTTCACTGCAATAAATAGTTAAAAAATGGAATTTTTATGGTGGGTAAATATTTTCTTCTACAGAAATAAGTTTCTAGTAAAGATCTATGTACATATTAAATTTCAGTTTTGTATCTTCAAGAGTGTAGAAGTTTTGTAAACATGTGAAACTACAAGCACTCTTTTCAAAAATTTTTTGGAAAAGTGCTAAAGAGATGGGGGAAAATGCCATTCATGCTTGATTGCTTGAAATTGGTCAAAAAATCATCCCAGAAATTTTGCATTCAAGTGAAACACCCTGCATACACCGTAGACATAATATACAAATGCAATAAGAAAAAACACCCCTTCGAAAGAAAATCAAAGGCAATTTCAATGCGAAGGCTTTTAAATAACAATTTTAATATAAAAAACGATAATTGTAAGAAGAGATTGATAAATTATTAACGACGAGAGCACATCGCAACTGAATTTTACTCTATAATTTTATGGGCGTTTTGTATTGTATTTTCTACGAATTTTTTGTTATACGGGTGTATGATTTCAAATGCAATAATTAATAGTTAAAAAATATTATGTAAAGGTTTAAAAAATAAATGTTCTTTCTTAAAAAATTAAGGTTTCAAAAAAATTTTCTAATTTCCTTCGGTCGACAAAAATGAAAAACGTTATTTTAAATTTATTTTATTATTTTATCATAATATAGGATGCAAACACATGCCCAAGCAAATATATTAAAATGTCTACCTTTGACTTTTGAACGTATGTACATTAATATTTTCACAAAAGTGTTTGTTTGAGCGTTAACCGCAAGTGCCTCTTTTGCTTTATATTTCACAAAACTCGGTTCTTATTATTGAATAATACGTTTGACTAGAACTTAAATTCTTGTTTCGGATCGAAATCATAAAATTTGACGCCTTTAAATTATTTTCTTTAGGGGTACATCCGTCCTTTATTGTAGCCATGTTAAGCAATTTTGGATTTGTAATTGATTGTATTCGAGCCGAAATCTGACAAAAATTTGAATTTTTTTAATGAACCAATTTGAAAGTAGTAGAAATCATTTAAATGAAATTTTCTTTAAAAAGTATTTGACGCATAAAATAAATTTCCTTATTCATTTTATTTTAAACTTTTTTTAAATATTTTCTGACACGTTTCGAATTTTCTATGGCCCGCGTGGTATTGAACTTTTTCATATTTTTGTTCTATTTATGCAAAAGTTTTTAGGGAAAAAAATTTAAAAATTTTTTTATGTGTAAATTTTTAGAAAGAATTATTTGCATTGTTTTCCAAATGAAATTATAGCGGATTTGAATCATTTTCCCAATATTTCTCTTTTAAACTCTTTGAGTTCTACTTCTAGAAGAGAAAGCTTAGTTTTTAATGAAATTTCTGCTCCTGAAGTACTTAAAATAAAAGTACTTAAAATGGTTTGAAAAATTCAAACTCTAAATCCGATTTTTCTCAGGTTTTATCGAATAATATTCTGAAGCAAATAGCGGTGTATATTGTTGATATTTTAAGTTGTTTGTTTAATTTTAGTGGTTTTCATGGTACATTTCCCGATGAGCTGAAAACAGCAGTGGTTCTATCACTTTTTAAAAAGTGAAATGCTTTAACAATTATAGGCCTATTCCATTCTTGCCTGTTTTCTCTAAAATTTTTGAAAGGGTCGTTTTGTTAATTATTTAGAGAAATATAGTTGCTTCAGCAGTGTTCAATTTGGTTTTAGGAGTAGCATGTCAAATGAGTCGGCATTATTGAAATTCTGCGGTGCGTTTTATAATGGTCTCAACAATTCTGTCTGTTCCGCTTTATTTGTAGATATCACGAAAGCGTTTGATACTGTTCGACATGATATTTTTTTGGATAACTTACATGGGTTTGGTTACGTCATTTTATTTTCAAGTGGCTTGCCTTTTTTGTTTGTAATAGAAAACAATTGATGAATTTAAATTGTTGCTCTAGCTCTCTTATGTATTCAAAAGTTGGTATGCCGCAAGGATCAGTTCTTGGACCAATTGTATTTTAATTTTTATTGACTAAATTCTAAACCTTCCTTTTAAGGGTAAAGTTACTGCATTTGTCGATGACGTTGCGTTTGTTGTTGATATGAACCATGATCCGGATCTTGTAAAGAAGTGGTTTTTTGACAATAAGCTACTTGTAAGTAATAAAACAAAAGTAATTCATTTTGGTTTTAGTGGCTATTTGCCCTCGGAATGTCCTGTCAAGTATCACTCTTTAATTTGTGATAAATTTCCACTTTTTAATAATTTTAAAGTTTATTCCTATGATGAGTCCAGATCTTGTAGTGATGGTTGTTTCATAATTGAATGGGTTAGTGAATTAAAATATCTGGGTGTGTTGTTGGACAAAAGGCTTAACTGGGCAAATCATTGTAATTATTTAAAGAAATATTTTATGAATGATTTAAGAAACCTATACAATTTGAGTTTTAATTGTTCTACCAAGGTGTTAAGGATGTTTTACTATGCGTTATTTGATTTAAAGTTGCAATACGCTATTGTTTGTTGGAGTGGATCGTATTTCAATAAGATTTACTCTTTATTGGTCTAACAGAAGCATGCTGTGAGGCTGATTCTGAGGAAAAATAGACGTGAGCATACTTTTCCATTTGTTTTAACTTTAAATTTATTGTCACTTCATTATTTATATTTATATAAGTGTCTGAAAATTTTCTTGTTTAGATGTGGGTACTCAAGTAGGCGTTTAATTTTCGTTTATAATTTGAATGCAGTTGTTGAACAAAGGTCATGCACATCTTATTACCGACCGTATTGTGTATACAATAGGTAGGTAATTAATTAATTTTATTTTTTGAATATTAAATATATCAATCAAAACTCGTTAAATAATTGGAGCTTATTTAAAACTTATTTTACTTTTTCTATTTATATATTATTGTTATATATTTTTACTTTTCTGAAATGCTATAGTTGTGATATGAAAATGTAAAATAAATAAAATAAAAAAAAAATTTGGTAATAATAAAAGCTTCTATATTTTACAATAATGCAATTGTGGGTGTAGTAATACAGTTTATTTCAAGTTTCGTACAAAATTCAAATAGGTTTCCCTTTATTTTCTTTTAATACCCTGCATCTTCGTGAATATACCCTTTATGAAGGAAAGAAACGTCAAACGTTGAATTTTCATATTACTGAAAATTCGTGTTGAAATTATTATACCCTGCACCTTCGTGAAGAGCATACTCACTTTGGTATGGAGTTTGTAACCGCTTGAAGAAATGGTCTCCAGTAGGGATATGTATATATATTTTTGGTCAGCGTACAATTTTGCGTTGATTTAAAAATGTCCGCCCGTCCGATCACACCACAACTCAAACACGAATAAAGCAAGCAATTGTATGCATTTGGATACATTTTTGCTTTAAATTTATTGTGGATACAAAGATACTCAAATCTGCTAAAATGCCGAAATTGGCTACATTTTAAAATTTTTCCGAAATATGAATACTTTTCTTTCTCAACTCTAAATAAATATTTCAAAACTATCAAAGTGATTAAATCGCGAAAGTACTATATTTTCAAAAAATGTTATTTGTGCCTTTACTAAACAGATTTCCAAATTTTTTAGAAGAAAGTAAGAAAGATGGTTATTAAATTGGTGCCACCCCCTTTGTGTTCAAATCTAAAACTTTTACACAAGAAACATATTGGCGTACATTGGTGTAAGCTACGTGTAGTAGAAAATGCATTGGTTGCACATATTAAAATTTTTATGGTAAATCGTCTTTGCCGCAACTACAGAACGTATATTTGCGACCTTAACTTTTACAACTAAAATGCACTAGAAGTTGTATGTGATTTCTTAAAGAATTTACTATAAATAATAAAACTCGCAGTGCAGAATAAAGCAAATTAATATTAATTATGAGTTCATTTATACAAAATAACACGACTTAATATAATAATTCTACCTTACGAGGCTACATACATTTTGGATACGTTTTTTTTCGAAATCGGATACATTTTCCTTTTACCGAGTGTTCCCACTGCAATCGACCAATCCGGGTTCGGATAGCTGCCATACAATTCAAATGGCCGGAGAGCTCGAGGTATTTAACAGGTTCGAGCAATTGCCGTTTAACAATAAAAGCTGTTTCTAGATATTTCAAAAACAAATTTTTAAACTCAGATTGTGAGAGTGCAGGGTATTCTTCTTTCAGTTTATACCGACTGAAACGTTTTTACTTGTTTATTACTTACGTTTTGTAAAATTGAACTGATATCATTTTTTTTGTTGAAATAAAAATTATTTTGAAATTGTTATACAAAATTTCTTTTCAGTTCAATTTCCTTATAAAAACGTCTCGGCACGTTCGTATAACAAAATATGTAATTTTTAAAAAGTTGGCACGCAGGTCTCACAAGTCTTGCCACCCAGATCTAGAGTGATATAAGTGCCTATTGCACCAAATTAGTAAATTTTGTTGCGACAATATTTTAAATTTTTCCATTTTCGAATAAACTTTTGTAATGAAGATATGAAAAGTAATGAACATATTAGTATTGGTGTAAGAAAAAATTCAATATCCAACTCTAATAAACATTATTATTCACTTTGAGTGGAAAATAATGTTTAATGATTAATGATTGAGACTACTCTCATAATTTAGTTGATAATTTCAATAAACTTAGTAAAATTGTAAACATATACTCGTAGCCATTTTAAAATCTTTAAATTGGTTTCTTTAACCAACAGCAGTTTCATTTGAAAGCGAGTCGGGATTTTTTTTTATTGCAATAAAATTTTTATATAACGTTATGCTTTTTCGATAATTTAAAAAACTTTGATGTTTATATGACAAACAACATAAACTTTGAAGCGAAAGTAAAATTATGTAAAGATAAAAAAAAAAATTCACATTATTGTTACTTGTCCAAAAAAATTCTATTTACGTTGAAATAAATAAAGTTATTTTTTGAAAGGTGGTTCACAATTATATAAGTATATTATGTTTAAATTATTGTTCTGATTTACGAAAGCGATGAAAATTATTTATCAAAATAAATCGGAGAATCGAAACAACAATATTTACCTACGTTATCATACAATAAATTTTTTTTTATATCTATGGCTTTAAAAGACTATAATAAATCAATCAAAATATTAACGTTTGAAAATTGGGCTGATTCTATAATAATAAAATGGTATACCTTTCAACGAACTATATAACAATGTTAGTTCGATAAGATTTTAGTCAGCAGCGTCATCATAAAATAGGGCAATCAAATCTAAATGAAAAGTATTGGAAAGATTAGTTTTTTTTTTTCAAAAATTATTAAAAAACTTGAATATGTTACTTATTATTGCTTTGTATGTTTAAGTGTAGGTAAACATTTGTTGTCAATATATGCCAATGTAAATTTACAAAAAGTATATCTTATATATTTTTACGGTTTATAGACCGCTTTTCATTACTCTAACCCTTTCATTCCTGAATTATAATTTTAAAAATACCTGAGAAAGATGCTAAATTTTGAACAAATAAGCTAATGTTTTCAAGTTTATCACGTTTCATATTAGTTTTTTTTTTAATTTACAGGTATTTTATATCTTTGCAAATAATAAATATGAAAATAATTTTGTCCACTTTGATATATCTATGTATATAAAACAATTTCTCTAGTATGTATTTAGGGTAAGACGGCTAGAACAAAATATTTTTAACGCTTTAAAGAAAAAAAATTTGGTACAAATCTAAATTAGGACCAACAAATTTTGTTGGCTATAAATGTACTATTTATATACGTTGTATTAAATTTAATTAAGCCATATGAGAAGAAAGGGTTAAAACTATATAGCGATGTAGAAAGAGAAGAGAAATTAATAAATTAAATAAAATAAATATTTAGAATAAGAATTTGAGATATTTTTTTTTATGTTTTGTTTGAAATAGCTTCAAATAACGTAAGTGGAGAAAATTTTTACCTTGCTATATTATATGATGCTGCTATTTTATCTGTTTTAAATTCTTAGAACTGAAATTTTGCTTAGAGTTGAAATTTATGCACACTGAGATTTATAGAATTGAAAACACGCATTTCGTGTTACTACTATATAATTGTATTATGATATTTTATTCTATAGATGTGATATTTAATTTTAAATATGAAACATTGCTTTCTAGTTTTTAAGTAAAAAGATTTATTTCAACATTTCATACTTACATTATACTAAATATAAGTATAATACATAAGTAGAGTTAAACAAAAATGTTACAGTAGGCAAATTTTTAATACATCATGTGGTTTTGCAGGACCGTGAGTCGTTTCTAATTACAAATTAAGCAGAAATTGAATCTGGCATGTAATTATATACGATTTCACTACATTCAAACCAATTTGGAAAAGCGCTAATATCAAAAACATCGTAATTCAATATTATTATTTACTTTATATTTAAATTTACTTTATATTTATGTTTAAATGTTTTTATAAATTTTAATTACATATTATACATTGTCGACGATGATTAGTTGAATCGGACGAAACCCAATAAGATCATAATCTTTTCTTCTGAATGGACACATGAGTATATAATTTGTGCGATTGCACACAAAATGTTACTACATTTTATGTAGCAAAGGGTAAAATATACGAGTATGTATTGTTATATTGATATGAAATGCCAATTAGAATTAGTAAAATTATTCCTAGATTTATATTACATTTGCCAATTATAAAATAAAATTATGAAATCAGTGCTATGTATAACAATTTCATAAAATATTTGTGAGCTATAGTTGAGAATATATATTCAATATTCTATTAATATATGAATATATATTTATGGTGTATGTTATTCTTAAAAGTACATACCTTTTGCTGTCTTTTGGTTATATTTTGTACTATCTAGTGGTGAGGATGATACAGTTAGCACAGAACAAGTTGATCCATCGTTAGATCCAACGGAATTAAAAAGAAATGCCCTATTGTTTAGAGAATCTGATTCAACTTTATTTAAAGACGTGAATAAGTTTGCATTTGTTGTCGTTCCTATTGTATTTGATGACGATATCCTTGATTCTATTAAATTATGGTTAATATTACCAACAACATTTATTGTGTTGTTTGTTGGATTTCCAATATTATTACTTTTGCTTTTATTATCATTAGTGTTGTTATTATGGTAATTAGTTGTTTCCTGACAATTTTTGTTATTACAACTACTATCACTATTATCAATATCATTCACTTTACTATTATTGTTGATGATGTTGTTGTAAAAAAGTTGGTTTCGACTTTTATTTATATTTTCTTCTAAAAGAAATGCTGGGGATACAGAATTTTGCAAAGTAACCGACTGTGTTAAAATTGTTGATGATCTCAGTGGTAATAGTTGTCTATAATGATTAATTAAATCGAACGAACCTGGTGATAAAGCGCTGCTATTTCCCGCTAAAAAATTTCAATTAGATAAAATGTCAAAGCAGTATTTGGAATTAGATAAAATATCAGTAAGAGAAAATTTGAATTAAATAAAATATCAAAGCAGAGAAAAAGGTAAAACTAAAATGTTATTATTAATTAATTCTGTATACTTTAGTAAATCTTAAATTTCATAATATTTAAATTAAATTTCAATATGCTATAGTTCTTGTAGGGAGTATTTTTGTATTTAAAACAAACAATATAACGTTAGCAGAAGACATACAAAAAAAAACAGTCAGAAGAATCAATCGACCTCATAAATTAAATCCTAGGTAAGTTTACTAAGCGGATTTAATTATTTAATATTTTTACTCGATTTTGACTGTGCACGTGGGTACTAGTGTATGTTGTCGATATTCGAAAACGACAACGATAAAAGACAAAATTTAATTCAAATTTTAATAATACGATTTTATTTCACGATGGAATAAAAAATCATTAAGAACACTATTTCACTAGTGAAATCATTAAGAATCATTAAGAACACTATTTCACTCACATTTTAAAATTCTTTTCCCTGCAATTTATTGATGATCATTTAAAATGTAGGAATGACTGCAAACTCAATGCGTTCAAAATCAAATGGCAAAAATAATAAATAATTTTACAATGCTCATTTGAAGCATGACATACGAGTATTCCGCAACATGCTGTTGTTTCTTTATCCCGTAGATGTTGTGCATACACTAAAAAAGTAACTTTTTAAAATAATATAATAGAAAATTACTTTAATGTATTGAAGACCCAAATTCAAAATAAAATAATTAGTTCCTCTAATAATTTTTTTTACATTCTTAAAGAAAATTTTTTTTTTCTTGTACATTCTTTATAAAATTTGACACTTTTTACATGTGTATTTAGAGTTTATATAAAAAGAAAATTCTTAATATGAAAATATTTGAAATTCAATACAAGTCAAATTCAAAATACATTCCGAGACATGAAGGAAAAAAAGTTTCGATACAGGCAGTATTAATTGCAGTATTAATACCGTAGTAAAACTTTAAAAACAGCTGTATTACAAAAAATTCAAAGTATTTTAGATATTTTGGATCACAATCTTGACAGTTGAAATGCGTTTACATACATGACCCGTACACACATGAAATACATCATGAAGTGATGTATATATACATGAAAATGAATCCATCCACTTCTTTAACTTCTTACTGCATTGTATAAATTTTTTATTCTACAATATAGATCACACAAACAATATAGTACTACATCAATACTGCATTTTGAATATTAGGTATTATTAAATTAATGGAATTAGACTATTAGCGATTCGATATTAGAGGGTATAACTCTATGTTAATATTATAAATTTTTTATCAAATTTTATTCTTTTCGTAATATAATAAATTTGTTTTTTTTTTTACTTGTTGAATTAACTTCATGTGACTTCTGTTTTAGGTGGTTAAAATCTTCTCAATTTTATTTCCATTTAATAAACGGATTTAGTTATCCGTTATAGTTTTGATTTACACTTGTATTAAGGCAATTTTCAAGAGGAAAGTATAAAAAATGAGTTTACCTTATCAAATTAAGTTTATTTCTCTTACTTTATTCTTCACTATATTGCTACTAAGTTTTTTTTATATTGTATGTTAAATTATTTTAAAGAGGGATTATTAGACAAACTTCTTCAACAAAAATTTAATTATATTCAAAATATGTAGTTTTAATTATGTAATCAAAGTAGCTTTTTATTTATCAAAATAAACAAAATGTTAATTAAAAAATGAATCATTTCAAAATGCTAATCTGCTAACCTGCTGATTTTGCTAACCTTGAACAAATTTGTTGGTAACAAAAAATTTCGAAAAGCCAAACCTACGAAAAATTTCTCTTAAATTTATTATACTTCAATAAAAATTTTAAGAAGAATTGAGAATTGTTGCACTTGAAGTTCAAAAATCAAAATTTAACAGGCAATGAAAATACTGACAATCATTTGAGTTTACTTAATCTTGTAATAATACTTTTCAAATCTTAATATGTAAATGTTTTTTGCTCTATTTTTTGACTTTATAAAACGTATTTCAAGTATTAGTTGAATTAAAACTTAAATAACGTTAAAAAAATATGTAACAAAATTTTTGGAAGTTTAAAAAAAAGCTAAAAAAAATCTGATGTGATCAGCACATAATCGACCGCAATGTGTATTGCCTATTTAAGTGAAAGTGTTACAGAATATTACAAAAATGTCTGTATATACTTCTTTCCAATTTTTAGGACATTAGTAAGCTTATAGTTAACATATCTAGAAAAATGTAAAGGCTTATAGTAGAGTTTCGCTTTGTGCTACCGAATCGCTTTGTGCACAACCAGAACTCAAATATCAAATTTCTATAAAATCCATCAATTCGTTAAGTAGATATGGGGAAAAATGTAAAATCGACACCATTTTTCAAAATGGTCAAAAATGTAAAACAGGCCCGCTAAAAACTGCAGTTCCCGAGGCATATCCCAATATAGATCAATCCGCGCCATGGTCAAAATAAACTTACATATGTATAAAATTTCATCAAAATCGTTTTAGCCGAACTTGAGATACACTCATGCACACACAGACCGACAGACCGACAAGTTGCTAAAACTGTTTTATTTACACTTCCCTACCATGGAGAAGTGCATTCCCACCGAAAACTCGGTATGCAAAATTTGTTGCCATCACATAATCTACCTATTGTATATAGGTATACAATAGGTCGCTGAAAAACAAGACAGGAACAAATTTGAAATGTTAAAAATAGAGTGATACATAAAATACAAGATAGAGAAATATGGTGGTTTCAAGTCCTTTATCATCCCTTTCAAAACTTATAAACAAAAACCATATTCCCAAAACTCCTGCATCTGGAAAACAGAGAATTAAGGAAGGAAATCATATTCTTCCTAAATCAAAGTTGTTTCATACAAAAGAAAATTATACTTTTTTAATATTCATATCTTAAAAATAGTTTTTTAATTTCTTAGTACACTTATGATACTATAATGTCCCCTATAATTTTAAATTAATACCAATACCAATATCTTATATTTCCTCTCTTTTTTAATAAAAAAATCATACATACAATATACATACATAATTTATTTAACACAAGTAATTTTATTGATATGAGCTCAATTTTGTCATCGCACCCATAAAATTATTTAGTGGCAAAAGATCATTTAATTTACAGAAAATTGTAGCAAAAAGGCCATATTTTTTTAGAGAGTTTTTTCTATTTAGTTACAGCATGTTAATATATTATTTGTATGTACTTTTTTTAACAAGTATGTACTTATTAAAACATATGCAAATAATAAACTAAATATACATAAGTCTACACTAATATACATAAGCATGTACTTCTTGTATGAATCAAAGGCATTAACTCTTTCGCCTCTTTGACATATCAACATTCTATACAACATAAACCAATACAATTATTATAACGTGCACATTGTGTGAATGGTACAACACTGCTTTTAAACTTTAATTAACGACATAAATTTGAAATTAATATTAGAGATATTTTCAGTTTTCATTGATTTTTTTCCGGAATAGTTAAATTTGTTTTAATAATTTTTTTCTGTGCTATTATAAATCGATGTTGTCTGGCATTTATTATGTTTATGTCAAAATATATTTTAGTCTCTATGTTTTTTTTTCACAATTTATGGTAATACGGTCGGATCGTTTCCATTCTCAAACTTACAGAGCACAGATTCGGCTAAGAAATTGGAAAAATTAATACAATCTAGTGTATATGTACATAGCACATGTGTATACTCATACATGTATGTACATATGTTATAAGTATATATGCACATGAATTTTATAAAAATTTTTGTTGCGTAATATTTTGAAATGATTATCAGTATCTAGCACAAAATATCATTTAATTTTTAGTACGCGAAATAGTTTGTGAACATTGACTTCCACCGGATGGCCTAAAATTTTAGCTAAACAGTCATTAATAAAAAACATTACAATTTTGAATTATGACAACATTTTCAATTTACTGGTATATTTTTTTGTGTCTCTTCATTCATTTGATGACATATGTACATATGTTCAAATAAAATATTTTTCATAGTTTTGGAATACTATCGGAAATGTTAAAGAAAAAATTTTTAAGTGTTTCGAGAAAAGTGCATGTATAATTATATAAGCGAAAAACAAAAAGCGCACATTAGGAAAGAGATTTATAAACGCCATGACTATGCAAAGTTAGAATCCCGTTGTTTATTTTTTTTTTGAAAAAACTATTAGATTGAATAGCATATATACAATCTACAAATTTTGGTAATTCAATACTTACGGAAAGCTCTAACACAAAAAATGGCAAGCTGAATCTTCTTAGTTTTCAAGTTTCATGACGTTATGTCCTGTTTTAAGAAAATATTTTAAAACGTATTGAACTTTCAAAATTGGAATTTGGTAACATTTTCATATATTGGTACATTTTCATATGGCATAATATAAAAGGCATAAAATTTTATATTATGCCATATGATACTATAAAATTTTTTGATAAATCATTTATTAAGATTAGACGTAAGGTAATATCATAATAAAAAAAGAACAAAAAATATGCTATAGAATCTACAGTTGTCAGGTCACCAAATAATTACCCCTTTTAGGTGAAGGTCAAAGTAGAGTTCCGACAAGGCCGCTGACGTACTAACAATGAACGTGTGATTGTCTAAATGTGGATTGTCTATGGCTGTCATTAAGATCAGAAAAGGAGCCTTGCTAGCGTTGGAATTCAACAAACACCACCCAGACGCACCAGAGTTGCTAAAAGTCTCAAGTATGTACTATTGTTATATCTGTCTATCTAACCATTCGTTTAAGAACCTGCACAGAGTTTTGGCTACAATTTCAATCAAGTGACACTTTACAGACATGTGCAATAAAAAGTAATAGAATTTTTAGTTATACTTTTTACTTGATCAGAAGTGATCAACCCCGA